TGTGCTCTTCCGATCTCCCCAAAACCCCAAAACCCCGTTGTTGTATAATGGTGAAGGTGTTGGAGAAATAAAAAAGCGAAATAAAAAAGTGAAGTGTAATATATTAACAAATAATAACTAATGCTATCATACGATGTTGCCAATAATAATGAATAATAATAGAGTTATAAAGTAGCTGCTACATATGCAAAGGATGGATACATCTTCAATGGTAGTGCTTGCTCTTGTTTCATATTCTTCTCATCCACTTCTTCTTAGGGTCAGCAGGGGCGGAGCTCTTCTTAAGCACTGGAGCTCCTTGAGGTTTAAAACCTCCATTGTTACTATTGAATGACCCTCCTAGATTCATTTATTGTGAGTCCTGTTGTTAGAAAACAAATTCACCTTTTTATTCTGATAATTACTACTACTGCTGGAATGAGTTAGTGACTTGATTTAAGACAGGGAACTCTCGAGGTTGCTGAGATTAAGACTACAGGAAAATATTAGTCTGAATACCACCACATGAATCAATCTGCATTTGATTTTGAAACATTCCAACATTGGTGTTCTAACACTCGTACTGCTATTGTTGTTGCTTTTGCTCTTCTTTAGCGTTGGCCTTGTAGTGAGCATTCAGATGCTAATCTATCATCTTTTGTTGCTATTGGCTAGGTCTAGCATGTACTTGAGTGTAAACTTTAGCATTCCTGAAGAACTCGTCATAGCTCTCCATGAACTGACGTCCTGCTTCTTCATTAAGACTGCTCTCTGGGAATGGTACGATAAGCAGGCATTTAATAACTTCGAATATGTGTGATAATGACCAGTTGTTTGGATTCCAATCTTTCTTTAAAGTGTTGACGCAAATCTCTCCAGATGGCACTGCAACATTAGGATGGAATATTTTAGTCAGGAAGAAACCTATATATTCATGTTATTATGTGTCAAAATTCATTAGCGAATTTCTAAGGATGAAACTGTTTTAGTAGCAATAGACAGAATTATAGTTTTACTTTACCTTTTGGGGGTTTTTAGGGGAACTCAGAATCAATGACAAGTTTACACTTAAAAATGCCACCCTCATAAGCAGTGCCCACTATAAATAGATAAGTAAGTCAAAAAGGATATTGAGTTAAGGTTTCTCTAACTCATCTCAAAGCCTGAATAAGATCAGGTAGTTGAGTGATTATTTACTAATGACTCTCAAATATAATTTAATTGAGTCGCAGATAGAGTATATTGAGGAGTTTTGTATATGATTGGATTGTATAAGTAAATATTTGGGCATATAATTACCTGGACCTATTATGTCTGCCTGAATATCGAGGATGTCACCATCTTAATTTGGCTGGAATAAAACGCCTAATAGCAAAGTTAATCAGTAACTGAGTATATATTTCATCTTCAACTTGGATCATCTCAACCAGAATTTCAATTAAATATCTCTCTGCGAGAATAATCCTAGGTCAAATTTTGATGACTTACAATCAGGTGGCTTATTAACTAGTTCGTTCTACTGTTTGGCGAGCACATTCATAACCTTCGGGTTAACATTCACCTGCTGATGTCCATGACTGATCTATATTGGAGGTGGGTTAGCAAATAGGCAGTGAAATCAAGCGAATAGAGCTAAGGTATATAAATGATACTTACCATTTTAGTTTGCTTGCTGTTTACCGTTTAATTTTATGATTAATTTATGTGCAATTTTAAATATAAAGACTATTCGTTATGATTACTATTGTGTAAGGGGTTTTGATGATTCTTTTTATCTATTATTACCTCA